TCTTCTCAATGACAGTTAAGATGACAATGGTACCTCTTGCACCCAAACTGTCAAAGAGAAGAATTCGGAAATGGATAAAAAGTTATAGATTTGCCGCGGTTCTTTTAATAACAAAACTCTAATTTGTAAAATATTAAAACCATATTGTAAAATTCTTTCGATAAAATTAAAGTAAAAAGTATATATTCCAATATATGTTATATACAATATGTAACAAAAAAATGAATGTCGTTAGAGGTGAACCGATATATTGCTTTATGTATTAGAATAATTATTTAAAAAAATAAAAAAATTACGAAGCGAAAGACTAATAATTTATATACGCAAAATATTTCATCGTGATATACGCGGTAGATTTACAATAACAAAATTATATAATTAATTCACGAAGAAATTCACTTATATACGAAATTGCATAGGAACTTGTTATAATGAAAAAGAAAAAATTTTGAATCGCGCACAACCCGACAACACGTCTGTTATACTTGAGAGATCGACAAGATCTGAGGCTACGCGCTGCGCTGTGAATAGAGCGCACGCATGCCCCACTATGCGCAAAAACACTCGCCGGTTGGAAAAACACCTCAGTCGTTGAACATAACACGTTTATTTTTCACACACATTCTTTCGTATTACAATTTAACATTTATTACATTTCTTAGTTCTCTTTAAAGGAAGAGAACATTTATTGCATGTCTTAATTCTTTTTAAAGGGGAAGAGAACACATTTATTACATTTCTTATTCTCTTTAAAACAAGAGAACATTTATTATAAGAGAAGAGATTTCTTATTCTCTTCCTTTGATGTGACGATATATTCTTTTTTGATAAAATGTCTATATATTTGTATATAATATTTTTTATATATGTGCTTTTTTTATTTTTTCAATATATATTTATCTATATTTTCTACTTTTATATTTCTATATCACTTTCTCTTAAAGAACCGATATAGAATTTTTTTTAGAGATTTCTATATCACTTTCTCTTAAAGAACCGATATAGAATTATTTTTTGAAACTTGTGTTCTTTTATATATCACTTTTCTATATCACTTTTCTATATCACTTTCTCTTAAAGAACCGATATAGAATTGTTTTTTGGAGGCTTATGCTCCTTATATTTATTCTCTACATTTATACTCTTCTAGTTTATTTTTGCAAAAATATATATTTAAATATATATTTGACATATATGTATTTAAATATATATTTTTTCTTTTCTTTTATTCTATCTCATCTATTTACATATGGTACGCTTTTATCGGGTGGGTATATACTCTCTTTAAATCATAAAATATAAATCTCGGTCGCTAAAGTAAAATAAATTTAAAATAATACTTTTTAATTTTAAAACAACTGTCCCTCGCGTAAAATATTTGATAGATTTTAAGACTTTCCAAAGTAGGTAGGTAAATAGGTGTCTGTGTAGGTAGGGATGCGTATCTACAAGCGCTTGTAGAAAATATATTAGGCCGGGTAGGTAGGAAATATGGTAGACCGAATAAGTAGGAAGAAATCAAAATGTCAAATTAGGATCAAGGCTGTTATGCAGCCTTAATCCTAAGTAATAACGCTAGTAACGTTTAAGATATGTCTAAGATAGGTATATATATATATATATATATATAAGTAGGTAGGTAGGATTATATATAATTATTTCTATTATATTGTGTATAATATTGTATTATATTGTATTATATTGTATGTTTTATGTAATAAATGTGTAATAGAAGTGTATTCTATTGTAATGTATAAAACAATTGTAAAATGAAACTTGAAAAGAGAAAACATACTGATAAAGAGTTTTAAATAAAAAAGCAAAAGCTGTATTTCTTGAAATTGTAACTTTTCAGACATTATATTTGTGTACCGTTAAAACATCTTTGTACAATATACATGGTTTTTTGTGTATTTTGCAAGGTTGGGTAAGTTAAATTTTTTTTTTTATTTAAGTTAAGTTACAGTTAAAGGTCTTAAAAATTTTATTTAGTTAAGATATAAGTTAATATCCATAATGAAATTAATTGATTAAAAGTTAAGTTGATAAAAAAAATAATTAACAAGTTAAAAGTTAAATTT